TATACTCTTCGAGCTATAATATGCCTAGGACTAGGTCGTACTAATCGATATTAGTAATATAGAATAGTAAGGTGTCTATATAATCTCCGATAGTAATAGTAATATATGCGGCTTAAGTAAGTTAAGTACGCCTTCCGTCCGCTAGGCGGAGTCGTTTTAGGGAAGCTAAAGGGAAGGTATCTATACGATAAGAACGAATGAAACGAGGATAAGCAAACTACGCAGTAGCTCTATAGTCGATAAGAGATTAGGCCTTGTCGGTAATAGGCTTTAGAGGATTTTTGCGAGGGCTACGTCGGCGTTAACGTCGCTAAAGGTATAGGGAAAGGATGCTTACGGAGCATACTATATAGCGTCCGTGTTTAGGTTTAACTCGGACCTAGCCGCCTCTAGACATACTAGCCGACTATAGCGAGGCATTAGTAAGGGACTTATCCTTATCTTATAAAGAACAGAGGGTCTCTTTAGTGCGCTTATCGTTAACCTTAGGTTTGCGACTTACTCCTAAGGTTCGTCGTTTTCCGACGACTAGTCTAAGTCTTCGTTATTCTTACTCGGATCCTAATTATAATCTAGTTCGGCATTAGAACCTTTATCGCCTATAAGAGCTAGTCGGACGTTGCGGTTGTACTTATTAATTAGAGTACTGTCGTTAACATGCCTAAAGCTAAAGGGTCCTTTACTAAAGTGTATAATGCAGGCGATATCGCGAGACTAGTAACCTACTTCTCGATAGCGGAAGTAGCGGTTTTCTCGTTTGAACTTCTCCTTCTCGGCGTCTGTCGTAGGGACGATCTTGCTATACTTTATAGGAATAATGCGTACGGCCTTGCGGTTATTGAACCCGATAGCGGCAGCTCCGGCAGCTCGAGCCGGCCTAGGAGCACCTCTAGTTACTAGGCGATTATTGCCTGCGCGGGCTCCTTTCTTGTTATCTCGAGACTTAGCTTAGTCTTTAATTATACCCTAGGACTCCTACAGGGCACGGGCTTCCTCGCAGAACTTATTAAATAGTAGGCGCTACTTATTCTTAAGCTCGTGCTTGTATAAGCTATTAAGCTTGTTCTAGAGTTTAAATGAGTTAGGTACCTTACGGGACTAAGAAAGCGTCGTCCGATATTCTACGATCTAGTTATTAAAGGTGTCCTTTCCGTTAGGTTGCTACATAGTCGCAAGCTTAGTTTGCGCTAGCAGTATACGTTCTTCGGCATTCTAGCCCTAGTTAGCATCGAAGGCATTCTATATATCCTTAAGCGATTGCTAGATATCGGCTTCTTATATGTTGTCGATAAGCATCGTTTAAGGCTCTTTATCGGTAAGTATAACCGCGTATTTAAAGCAGCTTGCGACTTTATCGTATTCGAAGGTATTAGTAAACTTAGCTTTTATCTTTATCTTCTAAGCCTAGTATTTCGTTCGGTCTCCTTTAAACACCTCTAGGTCTAGCTACCTTACTCGGTTCTTAGGGATATAGTGCTAGGCTGCGTTCGAGGGAGCCGCACTTGCTCCTCGAGGCACCCCGGCGGCGAGAGGGATAGGAGGAAGAGTAGTACTGCTAGCACCGGGAGCTGCTTATAGCGTAACGGACTGCGGTCGTTAGAAAGCCTATTAGTAGACTTACTATAGCGGATTAGGTGCTATAGACTACCGGAGAGGTATATAAGGGCGCTAAGGAGCGCTATAGCGCGGAGAAGTAGGTAGAGTAACGTTAACTAAATTACGTTTAGCTTAAGTTTTCGGGTTAACGTAGATAAACTCGCGAAATTGTGTTTACAATAACGCTAGTTCATCCGTTCTGTATTGCAATCGCTCTTCTAAATCTTTAACCTATCCTTTAAGCGCGATCTTCTACTAATTAGAGGTTTAGAGTCGATAGTTAGCTAAGCTCTTAAGGGCTTTGTACTCTTCTGTTTAAGTAGGTAGGATCGCTTACTTCCTAGACTTATTAGCCTCTTATAGCTTCCGCTCTAGGTCGTCGTGCTTCGTCTTCTACGATATAGCTTCGCTTATCTATTTCTTAGATTCGTAGGCCGAGGCGTTCTAGTCCTATCTTAACTGCTTATAGGCTTTATATAGGTAAGCTACGCCGTAGAACTAAGTGCGAGGGCGTATAGCTATCTTAGTCGCAAAGTCTCTCGTACTCTTTACTACGTAATAGTCGGCCTTAAAGTTAGCTTAACTGTCCTAGTTAGCGGGATTAAACTTCGGTACCTCGGTAAAGAAGTCGTTTAGGTCGATCTTACGGTTTCGAGTATCTAAGTTATCTTCGTTATCTGAACGCTAGTCTAGATCTAGCATCTAGTCTTCGTAGCTCTCGAAAGGGACTTCCGGGTAGTTATAACTAATACGCTTATACCTAGGGAGGATAGCGTCGATATGCTTAATAAAGGTAGTACTAATAGGAGCATTAGCTCCTTTATTATTATCTTCTTCGTCGTCGTTACTATCTTCCGGCAGAGGCTATCTAGAAGCGTATAAAGACTTGTTATTAGTAGGGAATGCACCGGGAGTCCGAGGCATCTTAGGCGATTAGAACGCCTTTGTCTTTCGTAATAGTAGCGGTTGCTACGAACGTCCTTGCGTCTGCGATTCGTTATTAAAGGTTACTAGTAATACGACGTCTAACAAGCGTCGCTTACGGTACTGCCCTAGCTGTTTACGGTGCTATCTAAGCTTCCGACGTACTCGAGCTCGAGTACCGTTATTATACAAGTAGCTATTCTTAGCTTCTAGTGCCTAGATATCTAACCTATTATCTTCTTCTCTTGCTTAGAAGGCTAGTCTCCTCTCTAAAGGCAGTTCGCGTCGATATTCTAAACTTCCGAAGCTCTTTCCTTAAAAACCTACGAAGCCTAAACCTTAACCTATTAATAACTTCGCGGCCGCGGCTCGGAAGGGATTTGTAGGTAAGAGCTCTAGTTCTCGCCGAATAGGGGGTCGCAGACTCTCTTAAGGTTAGAGGAAGGCCTTAGATAGCGCCTTCGAAGCGGCTCTCGATATTAGAGGTAGCTTATCGTCGTTACTTTTCGGCATTGCGGAGGGTTTTACGGGAGTAGTAATATTCGGTTTAGTATCGATACCGTCGTAGGTAGGGAATATACGTCTAGAGATACGTTAGGGAGGGGATTCTAGTAGATTAGTTCCTTCTAAGAAGGCGATCTCTTCTAAATCCTCTCGTTGTTGCTATTTATAGGCGGATTAAGCTACTTAATGTTCTCGTAGCGCCTAACTGCCTTTAGCTTTAATTTTAGCGATGTCTTATAGTAGCTTTCTCTACTTATTAGGATCGGTAGGAGCCGACTATTGCGACTCGGGTGCACTAGACATAGATAACGAAACAGTAAGCAGTATATAGAAACTAAACTATAAGACCTAAAATAAAACTGCAGTATATAGAAACTAAGTACAAAGTATAGACTAACTGTATAGTTAGTATCTAACTTAACCTAACTTAGGGACTCTAAGATGTCCGCTCTACTTTCCCTACACTCTTACTCGAGCGGTGTATACTACTAAATAGCTCTATAGCCGCTATATAACCTCTCTTTTCTCTTAACGTATTTCGGGTTAATCGTAACTTCTAACTAGATATACTAGCGCCTCGTAGTAGGCACCGCTTCTCGACTAACGGGTTATATTATAGCGATCCTAGTAATAATCTGCTATCTATTCCTAATTGTAGCGACTCTGTAGATAGCTAGTCGTTCTAACTAGATATATACGCGCGCTTCTCGCGTTACTCGAAGAGTTTTCTTCCTAATAATAGTATGCCGCACCGACACGTTTTCGGTAGCCCTAAAACCTTCTATTATTCCTCGTAATAGACTTAACGGATAGTACGACAAAATGTTATAAGACGGTAGGGTTAGATAGAAGACGAGTTGTCGTACGGTTCTATCTAAGAGGTAGAAGGAAGCGTACGAGGAAGTATCCTCGCTAAGACTTAATGCCTTAGGCCGTAATAGCTAACCTAGGCGTTACTCTATAATAGCTAACGACTCTAACTTAGTCGATAACCTTAACTTTCCGAGCGCCCTTCCGAGCGCTAGCTATAGCGTAGCCGCCGCGATAGCGACAATAATAGCGTATTAATTAGGCTCTATTATCGTTATCTACGCGCCCTTACTTCGAGCCGCTATATCGCAAGTCGCTACTAGATATATAGTTAGTATAGCCTATAGATATCGACTTAGTTAAAAAGGTAGATTTAATAGGCGATATGCCTCGAGCGTCGAATATATCCTTTATCGACCTTATAACGCCTTAGCGGCTATTACGAGTTATAGACCTTAGATTAGAGGTATTAGTAGCTTCTTAATACGACTAGATAAATAACGACGACGCGATACGTAAAATAAAGGGTAAGAGAAGAACTTCTAATCGATACGGCGATAGCAATAAGAGGCTAAGATAATATAGCGATAGTAACGTCGTTAAAACAGCTTCTATATATAGGCCTATAGTACTAGTAACACGTATTAATATTAGAGTTAACCCCTGTCTATCTAGTTAACTAATTAGGCAAGCCGTCGTGCTAAGAATACCCTCCTTCTTAACCCCAATCGTTACCTCAGCCAAGGCCATTCTAATCCGGAACAGGTTATACCACCATATCGGGACTCTGTTAGCAAACTTTGGTGGCTGCAGCCTAGAAGAGTGGTACACTAAAATCTTTGGACAATCGCCTCCATCTCATGCTCATCCATTGCGTCTACCCCGCGAAGCTTGAATGCGACACATGTACTGTTGACCTAGTCGCTATTGTGCATACGCGATTCTCTTGCATGCTAGGCCTGATACTGGCTGCATCGCGCCACTCCTAGAGCGTGAACCGCATCGGTTACGCGCAGTGTGAGTCCAGGACTGTGACATGACTGCCTTCAGAACGAACCTGCTTGGGCCAAGTTACGCATTCGTGCATCGGCTGATGTGGCCACCTCTTGATCTCAATGCTCTGCAGTGAAAGCCGTTCTTTCATTTCTGAAAGTCGTATCATCTCTTCAGCCGCCTGTTTCGAATTCGGTCTGTCTTCCTGCTAGGTTGTGTGACTCAGCTGTGATGTAATCGATCTCGTTCGACATCGGTCCTGCCTCTGTTGTACGCGGATATTGTATCGCGCTAGTGACCGAGAATTCACCGTAGCCAAATGGCTGTGCCCCTGCGCTGAGTGGGCTTCCAAAAGGCGTGGAGTCGTGACTTGTTGGAGCGCTGCTGTGGCTCCCATCATAGACTTCCTCCGATCGCAAACTCGGCGGGATTGCTGGAAGAGCGTAGCCCGTGTTTGGCATGCTATCATTGATCTTCTGCATCAAAAGAGGCATGTACCGCTGCTGACCGCCTCGGAGCGTCGAAATTAATGTCATGAGCTGGTTGAGATAATCCCGTGGTCCGAATTCGAACGTGTACTGATCCTGTGGGATGACGGACATGACATCTGTCAATGTGCAAGCTACATCGAAAAGCTTTTCGATGAGACCAACTCCATGCACCTCCATTGACTGCTGCGAAAATTGCGACGCTGAGTGGACAAGATCTCGTGAGATTTCGATGGGATACTTGAAGCTCATCGCGTTGTCTGCTGCAGCGCTGCTCAAGAAGCCGTGGCTGATTGACAATTGCCAGACCATGGTTCGCAGCCATTGCTGAGAGCATCTCAGATCAACCGCTTGACTCTCGGTGCATTGTAGATATTGCGGCAGTGCATCTGTGAGCTGCTGCTGCAAGCGCGCGAGCCACTCCGTCGTGCATCCCACTCTCGCCTTATTCCACAAGCCAACAAAGGTGTCGTCAAATGGCCTGAAGAGGTGTACAAGGTGGATGAACCCATTCAGCTCCACGGTCTCGGCTGGATCCTCGTCCAATGTTGGAAGGTTGATGGTAGCGTGTAATGTGAGCGGCTTGTGTTGTTGTAAAGCGTATGCGCGCTCGGTCACGAACAGCAGCCAGTAGAGGCGTCGTCGCCTGGAGTTCTCGATCAGGTCGTTGGTCGGATATGATGACTCGTCATGCATGCCCATAATCTGAGCAAGAGTGGTTGCTTCTCGCAAGTGGAACCATGCGGTATTTTGTCGATCCAGGCAAAAGTAGGATCCGAAGAAGAAGAAGGACGTAATTACGGACCAGATGCTAGGATTCTCAACGTAGTTGTAACCTCTCCTGACTCGCAGAGCTTCTTGCAACAGGGTATGGCCGAGTTGGAGACTCGGCTGTGGCTGTATCTCTAGGCCGTCGAAGGCCTCTGGAGGAATGACCATGTTGGGTTGTATCATCATATAGGCGCACAATGAGACAACCAAACAGTAAGCCTCAACATTCTGCTCCATTTGGCCTATCACCTCACCCACCTTTTGGCGATGAAGAATGGGCTGCGTTGGATAGAGGTTCGCAAAGAAGTAATCAAGGCATGTGGTCATCATTTTCACGGACAGGAGACCGGCTTGCCTGAGGTGTGCCGGGGAATGAGGCGGACTGTCAAGATCAAAGCCATGTCGTTTCGCGGCAAGCTGAGACTGTCGTTGCGTTTCCCTGAGCTCCGAGATGACCTTGGCCCTGCTACCTTTGGGTCCTTTCTTCTGAGGTATGGCGTTGTACGTGCATGTCAGGCCGGCTGATGTGCAGTTCTTGCAAGGCCGCGTGCCGTCGCCAATGCATTTAACTTTCCGTCGATGGCCTTTGATCGGTTAGCATATGTCGCAGACATCGAATGTCGGGGCTTGGAGAGGTGTGTCTTACAAGCATCGCAAGCTCTTTTCGCTGTTGTAGAAGGTGCGGCCGAGGAGGATGACGAGTCAGGCATGTTCCTGCTGCAATTCAGTGCTCCTGAAGAGACGGAGACCTCCACTGGGCCAGCTAGTGTGGAGATCAACATCTAGAGGTCAGACATGGCAGGAGAAAAGTAGAAGTAGAACTTTGGATTGGCGACCAGCACAACGGCTTGGTGTCTTTCCCCGCGTCCAGTAGATGCGGCGTGCCGTCAGAAGCCTCGAAGGATGGTATCGAGAAAGGTCGAGGCGTGTTGACAAGATGTCGAGCCAGCATCCCAACGTCGCCCCACCGGTGTGGTTACATAAGCCGCTACATGGTCGACCAAGGGCGTTCTACGGCGTAGAAGGAAGGGCGAAAGGCGAGGGCGTGGGCTTGGGCCAGGAACATCAACACACCATGACGAAGAGCGGTGCGCGTGAAGGTAGCGTGCTGGGCTGCGCATGGCATGGGCATGGCGTGGCGCACGACGGCGTGAGCTTTGCAGAGACTTTTTCAGGTGTCTGTATACTGGCACCTCGCTAAATCTCGCTTAACTCGCTTCGTAGAGGACCCGTAATTAATGACGTTTGTGTGGGCCCGCCAAGACCCACGATTTTGTATGTGTTCGGGGCATAATTTTGGGAATTATCGAAACAACTAATACCTTATCGTCTCTACTATTATCGCGCTAATAGAAGAACCGGCGCCTAGAAGCTATAATAGCTTTAAGGCTATTCGAGAGAGGCTGTTTCTTGCTAAGAAGGACGTTGCTATGCCGTACGACGATTTCCTTATCGCTATAAAGCTAATGTCTAATATATACAGTCGTAATAAGGTTACTAAGGTAAAGCCTAATCGTACTAGCGGTAGATACCTGTCGAAGGTATATTATCGTTATATCGAGTCGAAACGGATAGTAGCGGCGGATAAGAAGAAGGGCATAGAAGGCGGTAGTAGTTATTATAAACCCGAGTTTGCTACTAACGACTATTGCAAGGTTAGCTTAGTCGTTAATATATATTAGAATAGTAAGTAAGGCTCTCCTATTAATATCGTTATTAAGCGGACCGATTATTATTATTAGTATACCTATATACTCTAGCAATACGACGTACGGCGGTCGAATGCCTATCTTAAGGAAACAGGCTAGAAGTTATTAGATTAGTTACTACGGACTAGTCGAGTAAGAGACTTCCTTGCTAATAACTACGGTAATATTAGTAGTAAGTCGACAAGTTATTAGATACTATACAACCTAGGCCGTTAGTCGCTATATTATTACCGCGATAAGCGGTACGTTATACCTAGTAAGAGCGCTATTCTAAAGCAGATTAAAGAGGTAGAAGCGCGTACGATTAAGTATAGTTGTCGCTATTAAGTATTTACTATTAATACTAACAAAGGACCTAAATCTAGCATTGTATATGCGACTAAGAAGGGCATTAAACTACTAAAGAGATATAGCGAGTTCTTATCTTAAGACGCAATATACGATACTAATAATACCGGCTTCTTCTTAGTTAACCTATTCGTATAAGACAAGGCTAATAACTACTTACCTATAGCTTATATAGAACCGCCGCTTTAATCTATACTATAATCTATAGATAGGCGCGCAAGAGCACTACGATAGATAGCTACTATAGGCGCTAACTAATAAGGCATTAGAAGAGTAGGCAGAGCGAGTACGACAATAGCGATAGCAAGGTAGATAGATAGCAATAGCGATAGCAAGGCAGATAGATAGATAAGTAAGAGCGCGTTAACAACACCTATATTTTGCTATACTATTAATGCCTTACTAACACTTTAGCTTTATTTTGAACTAGTGCCGGCGGCGGCGACAGCAGGTGCTAGCGGTACTAGCGGTACCAGCGGTGCTACGCTATTCCTAAAGAAGAGCTGGAAATGGGTGCGTTTCGTTATAATTGTTAGGAACCGCGTACTTCCGAAGGCACGTACGGCCTTGGCGGTGCCAGAATACAGACACCCACTTTTTCACCTTGCAGCCTCCCACCCCGGCTGGACCCGGACGAGCTCGAGTCTATTCGCTGTCTGGCGAATGGCAGGCCTGGCTTGGCCACGCTAAGCAGCTAAGCGCGAGCCGACTGTTGCCGAGCAGATTGACGAGATCGTAGGGCTGGCGTGCTGCGCTGCGCAAGCGTCGGACCTTCTCTCGGTCCAGGGCCCACAGAGCTGCAACCTCGCAGCCAGCTTCACTGCCGCAGCCCTGCGAGCCGGCGAAATTGTCGCCATTCGGGGTAGTTGTTCATGTCGCCGCCTTCTGCAGCAACGAGCCGCAGACCTCCTCGAGCCGCTCGCCAGTTAACGCGCGGAAAGTGAAGGCGTCTCCCATTCCTCAGCTGCTGAAATCGTCCATCCGCTTCCATCGCAGGCATGAGCAACTCCAGTCCATCTTCGGTTGAGCATTGGCGAGCGCGCTGGTGGGAAAAACAGTGGACCGCCAGCTTCGTTTTGCTGCACAAGTCCGAAGACGTGGGTCTGCACGCGGGAGAGCCAGTGGCCGATATCCATCCAAGACAAGGGCGTGTAGAAAGGAGGGAGCAGTCGGAGGACGTCTAAAGCTGTATCCAAGGGCAAGCCATGCTGTTATATGTCCTTCAATCAGGGCACAACTGCCACCATGGAAGTAGCACCGAATGCTTTGCACGCCTCGCCGCCCTTTACACCGAACCATACTCGGCCTTGATGCGGCGCGACGGCCTCATTGCATGGTAGATCTGCGGGCGATGCGCGTTTGCATGTAGGTCTGTCCCGGTGAACTCTTCGAAGCTTTGAGTTGCTGTTTGTCTCGTGAGGCAATCGAGATATGAGTACGGAGGAGGAGGAAAGGTATCGTAGTTGTTTGTCTTGCCCCGCAGCACATCTGTGCCCTCGTCTATGTGCAAGCGTATGCCTAGATGTGGAAGGAGAAGACTTTTCTGCCAACTGGTGAACGATTGGCCTGAAGTCAACCTGATTGTATCGTCTTGGAAGTAGACCATGCTGCCGACAGTGCTTTGTGTTGGTCCCAAATGCCATGCCGTCTTCGGGAACCGGAAGGAGTGTCAGAGATATTGCATGTGAAGACCCGATATTGGTGAGTGAGATTGCGAGCAGATTGGATAAATTGCAGATGGGTATATAATCGGCAGGTGGAGGAGCAAGTCATACCAATATCCAAAGGCTGACTGTCGCCCCTCTGTCCAGCGCCCAAGCGCCTCGCTTCCCTCCTTTGCCATGCCAGGTGATCTGTGCGGCACGCTCAGAGTCCCTTCCCCTCGCCGTGCGCCTGTTGAATGACGGGAGTGTCAATTCCCACTCATGAGGGTTCGAAGACATTACCCCCGTCCACCAGGACTAGCTCGTCAATCCTTTTCTTAGTATCTTCGCCGCAGCATTCTACACGCTTCCAAGTCGTCATTCTTCCAGCATTGGTATCAATTTGCCATAGACGCACCCGCCGATGGAAGCCTCCATACCCGGCATAACCTCCAAAGCCGGAGCCACCAGCGTAGCACATCCATGGACCACGCCGTTCCTTCTTCGCCGCATGAGTCGTATGATGCTCGGGCGATGCCTCAGCAGGCGCGTCGCGGGAAGTTGATTGGTGTGGTCTGAGTGCGCAATAGTCGTTGACATGGTCGTGTCCACAGCCAACTGCGACTATGCCATATTCAGACAGAGCATCGTAGAAATGACTGTTGTAGCCGGGTGCCGTCACGCCCTCCTTCCACTGCCCTCCTCGAATGATATTTGCGCGATCGGCGTACTCAGGGAGAGGTATATGAATAAACGCCATATCCAAGTGAATATGGCTGTATCTGCTGTGTGCCTTCTTCAAGCTTTCTGCGGTCTCACGAAACCAGTGAATCTGGCCCGGCTTCAGCCAGTCGTAGCCCTTGTAGCGCTTCTCGTCTGGGGTCAGGCTATGCGTGTCTAGCAGATATATGGTCAGAGCCGAGTGCTGTGAGCTGTGCGCCTGCACTTCCACGTAGTAGTTGCCAACACCTTCTGCTTCTGCTGGTCCAGCCTGGCTTAGACTGAAAGGCAGGGTTTGAATCAAAGCCATTTGTCCCTTCCGGGGTAAGGACATTGCACCTTCATCATCATGGTTGCCAAATATGGCTGCGTAAGGAATGGAGCGCTCCACGAGTGGCGCGACCATTTTGAAGATTGCGGTCTGGGTGTCTGGTGCCGCAGGACCTTCTACCTGGTCCCCTGAAAGCACTACGAGGTCAGGTTTCTCGTCGTCAAGTATCTGCTCGATGAAATCCAGCGTGCGTGGATCGGCTTCGCACTTTTTACTAGGTTTGTCCCCTTCACCTATAGCATCTCGGCAGGTGCCGATGCCTGTTGCCAAGTGCGCGTCAGAGATCTGCAAGATCTTGAAAGTGCCGTCCTTATTCACTTTGGGGACATGTGGTTTGTGCTCCGTCTGCGGTCGTCCTCGACGCACGCTGAGTCGTGGAGCCCGGTTTGCATTGCCTCCATCAACCAGTAGAGGCACTTCTTGGACTGACCAATTCGGCCTGGGGTCCACAGCATCGGATCCGAACAGCACATCAATCGCGGTGACTGCCCGATCAGAGTCGCTATCATGACGCTTAGCACTACGGCCGATGTAGATGCCACCCGGCCGACTCTCCCACGCCACATCACGCTGTTCCTTCTCGTTCGTGCCCGGCTCCTGTCTGCTAACGCGGATGTCAACGACTACCTTGTCGTTTGTCGTGAGCTCTTCCTCCTTCTTGCGCTGAACATGCAGGTAGGCACTTCGCAGCCAGCCCGAGCCGAGCAAAAGATCCTTCTCCACTCGTTTCCATATGTCGGCATCGAGCCGGCACGACGATAGCGGATTGACGGGGGAGCAATGTGCTATTGTGACGTCTGTGATTACCGTTCCGGCATGATGCGACGGAAGCGCATGATGGATCGAGTCCGGCAAGACACGATAGCGAGAATCGGCAATGTAAACCAGTACGCACACGAGTGCAAGGAAAGCCGCGATCTGGCCCAGTGTGCGCACCTGCAGTCGAGCGTCAGTATGTAGGCGTGGCCGTGAAGTGAATTTCGCTGGAGGAGCTCACTATTCGTCTAGTCATATCGAAGTACAATATGCGTCTGGGTCTCTGATGTCCGAGTGTGTGTGTATCAAGGTGAGCACAGTGACCGTGGCTCTGCCATCATCACCGCGCAGTAGACAGCAGAGAACTGTATGCTCCTGCCACCGATGCACCAGCAGTGAGGTCAGGGTGTTCACACTTGCAGGCTGGCGATTCTCCCTGCGCCAACCCAGCAGTAATGCAGTCCGTCCAGTGCGGTAGTAAGCTGGTGTCATGCATCTGTCCAGTTTTCGCGCATCGTCGACCCAAGCTCACAGCCACAGGGACAGGGGACCGGCACAGGGACAGGGACAGTGTGGCATGCTGCAGACCACGCCATCGCTGCCGATCAGCGCCGAGCAGAGTCAATAATTCTGAGGTGTTGTTCCACTCTCCTACCACACCTGCTGTGAACGTCCCGACATATGTTCAGACTGAGCTCGCGTGCACGTGTGAGCCACGCGATCATCCAGTCTACACGATGTCTGAGTGATGTCCGACCATTCGCCGCCGACGATCTCGTTCTTCTGCGCAACAAACGCGATCGAGATGCTCCTCCAATCCTGCGAACACTCCAGCCTGGCCGAAAAATCGAGAGTCATCGAGGCACCATACAACACGACGACATCATCGGCTCGCGACCGCGCGACATTGTGAAAGCAACAACCGCGAAAGCCAACAAGCCTGCTACCGACTTCCGCCTGCACGCCGTCACTTTGCACGACTATTGCAGACTGAGCAGAAGACTGGTAACGCCAATCTACCCTGCAGATGCAAACCTGATAGTTTCGCTCTTCGATCTGCATCCCGATGCTGATGAAGAGCCAATTGCCATTCTCGAGGCTGGCACGGGACATGGCGCTTTGACTTTACATCTCAGCCGTGCCATACATGCCGCGAATGCGAGCAAAGAAGGCCCTTTGACCGGAGGCAGTCGGAGGGCAGTCATTCATAGCATTGATGTTTCACCCAAGTTCTCGGCGCACGCCCAGACTGTCGTGGAAGGGTTTCGAAGAGGCAGGTATGCCAACAACGTTGACTTCCATGTGGGTGATGTCAGCGAGTGGTTGAGAAACAGACAAGAGCTAGGTCCACAATTTTCGCACGCATTTCTTGATCTTCCACAGTCGGACAGACATTTGTCAGCTGTCACGGAGGCATTGCGGACGGATGGTACACTGATCGTATTCAATCCTTCCATCACACAGATCACAGCGTGTGCAACCAAGGTCAAGGAGGAAGGGATATTGCTGGACCTCGAAAGAGTTGTAGAACTTGGAGTCAATGGTGGCAGTGGAGGACGAGATTGGGATGTCCGATTTGTGCACCCCAAAACGGTCGTCGAGGAGCGGTCGGAATGTGAGACTGAGATCGGAGACAGTTCTATTTCTGATCACGACTCAGACTTCTCGAGCACTGCGCCAGACGAAGCCATCTCCACCAGGAAATGGGCCATGGTGTGCCGTCCAAAGGTCGGTGAACGCATCATTGGCGGCGGCTTCCTGGGTATCTGGAAAAAGCAGCGTGATCTAAAGACTTAAGTAGATATACTAAGTATGGTCATTCACCACCACTTTTCTATAAGTACCCGATCCTCGGACATGCCGGCTTGCGACCTCAAGAATTGGACTTGTACGTCAGTAAACTGAGGTGGCCCGCAGACATAGCAGACTGTATTCTTGCGGTCATGCTCAGCCCCGAATACACTCGCCTTGTAGCCATCCAGAGCTTTCAAGAGATCATGGTCGGCGATCCGTCGAGCGAATGTCCTGTTGGGAAGCTTGCCGTGCTCGATATAGCCATCGTCGCCAACGCCTGTGAGAAAGCAACTCAAGGTGACGTTTGCGGGATCTGCTGCTGCTGCGACAAGGTCCATTAGTCGTGGCAAGAACAGAATGCGCTGCGGGTCTAGATCGGGTTCTGCTTTGGTCGTATACACAAAGTGTATCTCTGGAGGGCGCAAGGGAGCAGGGGTCCGTATCAGGTACGTGAAGATTGAAATGAGTGGACTGCGTCCATGTCAGTAAAGCTCCTATCCTGGCCCTCCCTCACGCTTACTTGATGCCCACGCCTCCAGCTATGAGTACCAATCGATCGATCCCCTGCGTATCCAGATGAGGTGGCGGCCACTATAAGCGAAGGGAAAGAGGGTAAGCAAGTGTCTCGCCAGTCCACAGCGACCGTAGAGACCGGAGTGCCGAGTAGTCGCTTGGCTGAATTGTGGATTGCACCCTTCGATATACTTACGGTGAAGCTGCCTCCGACTCTAACTGTCAGCTGGGTCGAGATGATCTCTTCTGTGTCACGCCATAGCCATTGTGCCGGGGGGTTAGAGCTTCGCTGGACTGCAAGTTCCAAATACGGCGAAGAATGAGTCGAGGGCATAGCATCTTGAGGCGTTGATGTGATTGTGAAGCCGCCTGCTTGTTGTAGACCGGGAATGAATGTATCAAGCCATTGACCTGGTCTACAACGAAGCTGTCAGTATGATGTGATGCATCGATCGCATTGTCGACTGTAGTCTATTCTCGCGAACTGTGACCGGTCAGATGCACTCACAAGAACTACTATTGCTAGTCAGTCTAAGAAACATATTAGAAAACACAACTTGCACATCACCTTAATTGTATGCTGCTTGTCGACAGCTTGAAGCTTCAGGAGTCTGATACTGTCGTTTACTTGTCTAATGTGCGACAACACAACCGGCTCTCGTCGATTCTCTCGAGGTTCTGCAGCAGTCCTTTCGGTATGCGGCAGTGAGGAGCGAATCGTAGCCATTCTTCTTACTGATGTCGGCCCAGAGAGTGACTTCGAAATCGCAGTCCTGCCAACGTATCTCGCCGTCCACATTGTGTACCACGTCACGGAAGTTCGAGCGCTGAAGTGGCCAATGCCAGAGCTTGTCCTTGACATTCTTGACATCAGCAACCCTGCCGAGGGATGTGGTGTGCTTGGCACTGCAATATCCGGGTGTCTGACCGGTGGACTTATATTTTCGACATGTGGAATGCATGCCTAACGATCTCCGATTACTGAGGCTAAAATGTGCTGTGGATTGCCGTGCAAGCAATCCAAGAATCACGAAGCGGCCGCTCGTGGGTCCAATGTGAATGTTAGAAAGTCAGGCATCTAGGCATACCCGGGTTTTTGATTTCTACCAATTATAGCGAAGGTTAGGTGCCGTAAACTAAAAGAGGTGTAGTTGAAAGTTAGAGCCTAAGGTGTCTAGCATTTTGATTTCTACTAATTAGAGCGCGCTAAGAAATCGGACTACGTAGTATAACCTATAAGCGGGCTCCCCTTAGTTACCTAACCTTCGCTACGCTTCGGGAGGTACTAGAGGTCGCCCGCTTCGTAAATAGAGCGTTTTAGCTACTTGTTACACCTATACTAATACCTTTAGGTAGGTCTATAGATATAGTCGTACGAGCCGTCGGAATAGCTCTATATAGTAATAAACCGTACGTTTCCGAGCTGTCTCTTTCTAGTCGCGTATAACCGTATAGATATCGCGTTTTCGAGGCGCGCCTAGCTTCGAGTATAGGCTAGAAAGGTAACTGCTTTCGAGGTATCGTAAACTCGCTAGTATAATACTAGAAGACGAAGAGATATTAATCTTTATTATTCTCGTAGTAATAGTATTCGAATTAGATAAGCCGCTACGATAGAAACGAGAGCTTACCGAGTACGAGTTCTTCGAGTAGATACTAGATAGCTAGCCAAAGTCGTAGTTTCTACTATACTATAGGTACGTAGAATATTAGTATAGGAAGTTAAGTTAAAAGTTAAAGTATAGTAGTACCTCGTCGTCGCTAAGCTAACTAATAATATTGCCTTAGGTTTAGCAAAGTCTAGGTTAAGGAACTAGTAGAGGCATTAGATATTACTGCTATTAACTTCTATAATAGCATTAAACCGAGCCCGGAATATACGCTCTATATAGTATTATAGCGCCTTACCTAGCCTTCTCGATAGGCTATCGCCTACCCTCTCTTTAGTAACTACGAGTCGTACCTAAGTATCGTCTTTACGAACACAATCGACTATCTTATATAGCGCTTCGGATATCTTATCGAATAGTACCTACGATTACGAAGCTATAGTCGCCTTAAATACTTTACTAAGGTAATAAGAAGAGCTAGCTTAGGAGGGTAGATTTAGGGCTTCGTTAACGGTTATTTCTAAGGATTCTATCGACCTACTATCGGTTAGAGAAAGCAGTATTCTAGGTATAAGAAAGAGCATAGTAGCAAGTACTAAGGCATTATTATACTAGACGGTATTATATCTTTAATAATAGGGCTATATAATAGCTCTAATAACGATTAGGAGATATATAAGACTTTAGGCGTTATACGCCGGCTTCGAAGAATAATAGACTCTTATACCGGCTATAGAATGCTATATCTTTATAGTAATCTAGCATACTATAGTGCCTTCGGAATAATAGCTCCTTATAAGCATTATCTTAGCCGCAAGATGCTTACTACTAAGCAACGGAAGTTTAATAAACACCTCGCTAGTCTACGTATTTCCGTTAAGTACGTATTTAGTTAAACTATACGCCTTTAGACATATAATACCTTTGCTAGGCAGCTATATATAGGCAAGTAGGCAGTTAGAGCCTTTATAATAGTCGGTACGCTATTAACTAACTGCTATATTTGTATAGAAGGTTACAATTAAACGAGCGAGAAATACCTAATAAAGCCTCCGGACCTCTACGAGTACCTAGATATCGACAATCTATACGATACCGACTTAGAGAGCGATTAGATTCGCTTTACTATAGCGTTTACTATAGACAACCGAATAGCGGGGTCTATTAACGTCGCCGCTATATAAACGAGGTATACTCGTCGCCTTTCGAAGTCGTAGAAGTCGCATTTACGGAGATCGCCGGAGGTGCTAAGAAGTTTATATAGAGATACTAAAACTTGGATTTAAAAATTTATTTTATAATATATATATACTATATAACAAAACTAATTATAGGAGGTGTTTCGCTACTATCGAAAGTATATCTCTAATTTATTTGCGCCTTATATACTAAATGTTAACTATATTGTCGTACTATTCCTAAAGCTAAGGTAAGCTTCTTAGATCGGCGGACCTAAGTCGAAGTTCTTAGGGTTAAACTTACTTATTTACGCTTATACCTGCGCCTACAACTCCTGCCTCTGCTTCTATACTATCTATTCTATTATTATAGCAAGATCTCCTTATATCTTTTACATTCCTTTATTTAACTTAGCAATAGCTATCGTAGTTACTATATCCTACTATGCGCTACTATCTATATAAGAAGCTATATAACTTATTAACTTCTTTAAATCCGGCCGTAAGTTAGTCGACTCGTCGTTAACCGGCTTCTTACGCTTCTTCTATCTACGCGCTAACTGTATACTCGTAGACCTATCTCTTCTACCTAATAGAGTTAGAGTCGGAGTTGCACTTAATAAAGACCTACGATTAAAGTTTAGTCGTACTAGCGGCGGCATTATTAAGCGAGAGTCGTCTTCGTCGGTAGTGTTATCGAAGTCGCTTATATCTTCGTCTAGATAATCTATAGTTAGGTCTTAATCTTCTATAACCTCGTTATTATCTAATAGCGTATCTACTGTCTTCTTATCTCCTTATCTAACTATTATCTTCGTACGCTTAATCTACGACTTTGCTACTTCTATAGTTACTACTAGGTATACGGTTATAGTACGAAGGTATTATAACGGTTATGCGGTATAAAAGTTAATATATTCTCTAAGGTACCGCGAGGCAAGCTATCTATATAATAGTCCTACTATTAGTAGTAATAGCGACCGTAGCGGTCGATAGTAACCGCTGCCTACTATCGTATATATAATAGTGTTATATCGTAATAGCCTCCCTTTCTATAAAAAAGGTCGGCACTATCTATAGTATCCTAAAACAAAGGTCCTTAGTAGGCCGTACTATAGGAAGGTTTAAGGCAAAAGAGCGTAATAGCGTCGTATAAAGGCTAAGCCTAAACAGTATGCTAGAACGGTAATGCTAGGTATAGAATCGTGTCTCTCTAGTAATAACTACGTCGGTTTTATGCTTGCTTGTTACGATAGTTACGAAGGGCGTTGCGTAAGCTAGTTAGTATAGTCTAAACCGCCTTTAGCTACGGCTAAGGCGCGATAGTCTTTATAGTCTTATTATCGGATAGCGAGATATTAACTACGTCCGCTATAGTAGTAGCGCGGTCTAACTAATCGATAGGGATATTAGGGAAGTCGGCACCTAGTAATAGTAGCATATCGGCGTCGCGTATAGTACTATATAGCTTAAAGTAGTTAGCTATCTATACGTTAAGCTTCGCGATCTTATTCTTAGTAGTATTGCCTTATATGCCGCCGAGCAGCTTAAAAGCGTCCTCGTTAATTAGGTATAGTATAGGGATTGCCTATTACGGCGCGACGCGTAAGAAATCGTAGTAAAGATAGGTTAGCGATAGCGTAAGCGACTTCTTTAAGACTGTAGCAGAAAGACGATACTACTAGGCTATCTAGCGCTTAGTTGCTTCGCGGATCTGTGCCTTAGCTAGTATCTATTAAAGCTAGTATACCTCGGTTGCTACTAACTCGGACTAGCGTATATAGTAGAGGTCTTATAAGTTAAGCGTACGTATACTAATTGCTATCGCATTATATTAGTATTGTCCGTAGGCGCCTATAGTGTTTTCCTATAGGGCGGGCAAAGGTAGTAAGCGTATCGGAAGCGATAGGAGCTTATACTATAGCTACGTAACCGTATTATTAGGTAGTAGTAGCTAAGCCGTAACTAGAGCCTTCGTAGGTGTAGAGAATAGGTTAGACGGTAGTAGCATCTTCGATAGTAGGCGAGGCGCTAAGAACGGGCTAGTAGTTAGCTTCTAGCGAGTATTTAACTTAGTCGATAGTAATATACGCGAGGAGCTTAGCTAGATCGCCTTAGTTAGTAGGGTAACGGCCGGAGGTTGCGGCTTAGCCTAAGTCGCGAGCTTAGGAGGGAAGATTTTGCTAAAAAGGCGCGCGTTAGTAAGGTCGGTCTCGTCTAGCGAGTAGTCGGGTAATAGTACTAGGAATACGCCTATAGGATCCTAAGTATAGTCGATATTATACTACTAGTAATTCTTATTTGTTACTATCTTATTGCACTTAAAAATAGTATTGCTCTATATAATACGCTCCTAGACGCCTAAAGGATCGAAGACTAGATTAGTAGAGACCGTCTTCGGCAAATTATAGAACTATAGCGTTAGCGCGGGCTCTAATCTATTAGGGATAGTGCCGTCCTTAAGCGTCTAGATATAGGCAATAAAGGTAGATAAGGCGTATACCGGATCGATCTAAGTTAGCTAGTAGACTAGGCTAAAGTCTACTAGGCATTAACGGTTAAGGAGTAGTAGAGGCATGCCTTTGCCCTTATTAGTAGCATAGGTACCGTTCTAGTAGCGACCGCTATCTATAAGCTAAGCGTACTATTTTGTATGTAATATATTAGTAGCCTTCGTATCCGCAAGCGCCTTATTAGTATAGAGGGCGAATATATAGCCCTCGCCGCGAAGCGTATAGGCGTTATAGACCGTAATATACCGCTAGGTATAAGCGACGACGTTTTAGGTAATAGCTAGGCGACCTAGGTTGCGATAGTATAGGTAGGGCAGACTACTAGAATTTAGGGACGACTTATACTACTTATAGAGCTATATAGCCGACTAGGTACTAAGTTCTATACTAATTAGTAGTAGCTAAACTATATAGTCCTTAAGCTAG